GGACGGCTAGCGCAGATAGCCCTCGTGTAGCTTTGCGAGAAATTCAAAAACAAACAAACAAACAGAGGTTGTTTTTCTAACATGTTGTTGTAAATATCTAAATCCTTCCATTATGTATTACAAATTGTGAAAAAAGAAAAATGTTTCAATTACTAAATTATTACATCCAAAACATTTGCCTTTTCTGTAAGTATCACACTACCAACCTCTCACTTGCAACTGAGACTTTTGGACATATACAAGTTTTGCTGACTAGTTTAGCACTGAAAACAGGTCTTCTGTAGGAAGATTACTTTGTGAGAAGCAGTGGACCAAACTCTTGACATAAATGTGGCATGAACTAGTTTCCAAATGAATCTTTCTCTGCAAGAGTTGAGCACGAAACGTTGTTCAAAAACTCTAATACTAAAAAAATGAGCCATTTTAATGTTTGTCATTTGCTGTACAATTGACTCTCAATTTAAGGTTAATTAGTATTAAATAAAATAACGTGGTATAAACTATAACCTGCAAACAATAAATATTATTTTGAATTTTAAAACTCTATAAAAAAACATACTAAATATGTGAACATTTAGTATGAAAAACTAAGAAGAAGTGGAAAATGAACATTTTGTCCAAGAAACTGAAAGCCACACTAAAGTAAAACCTATCTTCATAGGTAGGCAGTTAATGTTGGGTTTTAATGTCTTTAAACAAATATTTTGAATTTATTATTAACAAACAAACTCTTAAGTTTATTTAATATGGCTGAAATGTCACATGTATGTTGTTACTCGTACCATTGATTAGAAAGGCTAAGAGTAAATTTTATGATGGTTTATTATCAACTTGGGAAAAACTTTAGCATTGATTTATTAATATTAATGAAAATATCTCTCATGTTGTATTACTGACAGGTATTTGAAATAAAATGCCTTAAATGCAGACTAGGGGTTAGATATAAACTGTAAAAACTATGATTAGAAACTCCATATGTCAGACTAGGGGTTAGATATAAACTGTAAAAACTATGATTAGAAACTCCATATGTCAGACTAGGGGTTAGATATAAACTGTAAAACTATGATTAGAAACTCCAGATGTCAGACTAGGGGTTAGATATAAAGTGTAAAACTATGATTAGAAACTTCAGATGTCAGACTAGGGGTTAGATATAAAGTGTAAAACTATTATTAGAAACTCCAGATGTCAGACTAGGGGTTAGATATAATCTGTTAAAATATGTTTAGAAACTCCAGATGGTGGACTGGGGGTTAGATATAAAGTGTAAAACTATGATTAGAAACTCCAGATGGTGGACTGGGGGTTAGATATAATCTGTAAAACTTTTCAAAAACTCCAGATTAATAACTTTATTAGTAGTCAGTGTGTTTTAACTTCAGGAAGAAGAAAAAATTTGGAATTACATTAGTTATTTTTACTTAAAAGGTTTAAAATTAACGTGGTATGACTTTCCTGAGAATTTGGAAATTACTGGATTTTATATTGACAAGGTTAAAACATAATACCTCTGACGTGGTTTAAAGTCTGCATGCTTTCATAATGATTGAAAATTTTCATTGATAATAAGCTCCTCTTCAAAATCCATCTGTCAAAGTGAGTAACTTGCTTTCAAATTACAGATCTTAATAAACATAAGAGTATTTTCTGTAGCTAGAAAGTATGATCTTTAAGTCAGAATTTGATTGTAAACCAGAACTACTTGATAAAAATACTGTGTTAATAACAAAAAAGAATAAATTGTATAAGCACTGACTGATGACTTCAAGAGTGTTTATAAACCCGTTTAATATAGGAAGGATGGTTTTATTTGTTCATCTCTCCAACGAGATGGTTTTCCTATTTCTAGAACATGTACCCGATAAATGTTTATGGGGCCCAGATGGAACAGGGACAAGAATATTTGGGGAAGAATTATTGACACCACTAGAATCTCGAACCCCTTCAAAAGGCCAGTTTGTTGAAAGTGGTGTTAAGCCGAAACTTCAGCAGCCCAGAACATCACCTAGACAAAAACCGGTCAGGGCAATAATCTCTCTTATAGTATTTGGTCTCAACTTTCTTACGTTGTTTGTCTTAATTCATCTGTAACTTAAAAATAGCATGTAAAGTTCTCAGACTTTTCCGTATTTGTGTATTTCATATATTTAATCACGTTTATCATAATTATAATGCTGTTGTAAAAGTTTATTAATGTTGCACTTGTAGTTGTTCGTATACTATTATACGGTGTTATGTTCCTACAGTAGTTTATCAAATTTTTTCCACAAAATTCACTGTCTTAGTATAACTTTTAATCATTGTCATAGAATTTTAAAAGTTTTGTACCAGCATTTTGCTTTTTATTTTTAGCTATCATGACCCATTTAGTTAAACTATGATTGGTACATAGCCTAATTCAGTTTGCTTTAACCACAACCTGCTTGAACAAAAATATGTCCAAAACTATTACCTGCAACTATGTGTGTCTCACAAAAATGGAAACACCTAAAAAAATAATTGAAATTGGATGTAGAATTGTTTTGGGTTCCAATAACTTCTGTACTTAAAGCTAAAGTCAAAAATTGTTTTTATGTTTCCAAAGATATTAAATATAGTCAGTAGTTTATCTTTTAATCAATGTTGCATTTTGCAGCATTGTGTGAATTATTGCTTTCTGGGTTTTGGTTTTGTCTTCAGGTTATTACACCGTAAGCCTTACAAGTGCATTTCAGTTAAATGTTGACAATATGCTATTAAATATGTAACCATGTGTGTGTGTTTGTGTAGTTTTGCTATGATCATGTTTAAAAAATTATGCTAAAATTTCACCTTGGTCATTGAAAATTAAAGATTAAAAGAAAATGTTATTTCTGTATAAAAAGAAAGATTTACAGCATGTAAAAATGAGATAATAAAAAAAAAACTTTTAAAAGTGTTTGTATTGTAGTGTTTTGTTTATTTTTAGAAGCATACTGTGATTGTTTCAGAAGCAAGTGTCCAACAAACAGCGTCAGGAGCTGAAGAGAAAAGAAAGAAAACAGGCAAGCCAAGACAAAAAGCGTAACAAGAATAGTCGAGTCGAACTCGATGATAATGACAACGAGATGGAAACTGTAGTAGTAAAAGATTTAGGTCGCCTTAATTTATGACAGCTTTTCTGTATTTAACTATGTTTTGGCCTGAAAATTGTTTTGTATAAAATTTATTTATTGAATTCATTGTAAATAGCATTGTACAGTTCAGTGCTGGACCTGTAACTCTAGAATGTATACAATTTCCTTGTCTACAAGTCTTTGCATTTTATTGAGGAACCATAATAAATTCCGAGGCCTCAATAACACTTAATGGCTTCAAAGAAATGAAATATTAGATAAATTCTAATGAATACTCATAGAAAAATGTAGTGGTCCTTATAAATCTTGAGGTGTTTAGTTGTCATGGAGACTCTACCATAAATGATGAGGATGCCACTTGTAGTGAAGGACCTTTTGTATTTGTCAGCATATTAAGAAGAAGTAGTGTGTTAAATCTCCTCTTTACTTGAAGTTTCTTCTTCTGTTATGTTTTATTTTGTGAGATTTAAGTAATAAGGTTTAGAATTATAATAAAATATAATTTATATCCCTTGTTGTGGACTTTGTTTTTTTTCTTTAAAGAAATATTGT